TTTATAACTCATTTTGCAGCTCGTGAAATTCTCTATTGAATGGCATATCTATCGTAGTGGCTAGATGATAAAGGGTGTCATAGATTATCCTAGACTGTTTGCACGTAGGCGATTATTTTCCATAGACGGAAGTATTTCTGCCTAGTGGCTAGAAATGTTCTCCTGTTCATTCTGTCGATGCAATTCAAGCAGGGACCGATTTCATCAAATAATCGTCCCCGTCCTTTGCAACACTCGTGCTTGAGCTTTTTGTATACACCATGGCTTTTCAAGTTCTAGATTTACTTTAACCAATTGTGAAATCAAATATAAAGGATAAAGCCTTTTGATCTAAAGGTTTTTAAAGAACAGAATATTTTTGAAGACTTCTGCACAAAGGACAGCGGTTGTTGTGAAACTTGACGCATAATTGAAGATATAAACAAAACAAAAACTTAAAAGTTTTCTCCCGTAAAATTAGGAGTATACACGGCTTTTTTACCAACTTTCGTTCGGTAGAGTAAATGAGTTATTTATCATGTACTTGCAGAAAAGCAAATAATTCATTTACCGTTTTTCTCGTAAATGATAAATGACTAACGTATCATGTATCATTCTTAAAATAAACGATAAAGAATTTATTTTACTTTCCCTGCTTAAGTTACATACATTCTCTGTACCAGGATTGAAGATGTCTAATTCATTTAGCTTTTAGTCGTTACACTTCAATCATGTTCACTATAAAAAAAAAAATGTTCTAATGGTGATATCATTCACCTTTGCATTGTTGTTCTCATGTTCGTCATTCAATTATATTTGCCGTATTCGACGTTAATAATAGGTAATGTATAACTGATCTCTCTCATTTGTACCCTGAATATCTATACTTTCCCTTTAAGTCTCCAGTATTTTCCTGTGTGTGGCAACACTCAATATTGTAATCATACGAGGTAAAGTTCATAATTTGAAAATTATCTATATGATCAAAATTAATTTTTATTTATTTTTTCAGCACGTATGGATTTATGTTTATTTTAAAAATGAACATTTAAACCTCACCACTTTTCCTCTAACCTTCTTCCTTCAGGCAGAGGTTAGCACGTGCTCCTGTACGAAAACCATAGATTTTACCTTTTCACCTTTTTTTCACCTTTAGAAAAAATACTAAGAAACTAAAAATTCAAATTTTTCCTTCTCATTGTTCGAAAAGAGAGTTTTCATCAATACACTCACTGTGTAACAGCGTTGAGCAATCCAAATTTTTTTTCTTTCGCGTCACTATTACGAAGAAGAAATTTGTAGTAGACCAGCAAAGTTGCGCGGAGGTGTTTTATTTGTTACTACTTTTACTGTGTCAATAACGATAAAAATCTTGATAAGTTATTCTATGAGTCACCACCGAATATCAAGTCGTAGAGATAAAAGTTTCTTCAAATAGTTCACATTCATGTTATAAATAACTAGCAACTCTAAAAAATTAAAGTATTTGAATAAAAGTATTTTTTGATGATGATTATGATTGTGATAAGGAAAATATAAGGGTTATAAAATGCTGAAAATGTTCGAACTAAGTCAAAAAATACCTCAGTCAAATGGAGTTTCTTATTCTCATTATTATTTCATCAGCAATTTTGTCAAGTGAATCAACTCTGGTCAAATATGATTTTATTATTAAAACAATCCCCGGTAATCCAGACGGTTATCCTCGTGCTGTTATCACAATGTACAATGCTAATGATACCTGGGATCCTAATCGACCATTTCCCGGCCCTTTGATACGGGCAAGACTCGGCGATACTCTTCAAATACGTATCACAAATCACATGAAAGAGCAATCAACATCAATTCACTTTCATGGTCTTCACATGCTGAATAATCCATGGATGGATGGTACGGAGTACGTAACTCAATGTCCAATTCATCCATCTGAAACGTTTAGTTACATATTTAATGTCACTCAGACAGGCACATTCTGGTATCATTCGCATCAGGGTCAACAATATGCTGATGGTCTTATAGGACCGATGATATTTGATGATGACGAAATTGAGAAGAACTATTCATACGGAATGAGTGATCATGTGATTATGCTTCAAGAATGGTATCACGAGTCATGGGCTGACATTATGACTGCATATCAAGGACCCTATGGAGCTTTTCCGGGCAGTATTCCCGTGTATCCCTGGCCGCCAACGTCGTTTTTAATAAATGGTCACGGTCAGTTTGATTGTCGTACAATAAATTGTACTGAATATTCATCGTTTTTGAACGCATGTGGGCACCGTGAGCGCGCTCAATGTATACCGCTAAGAGATCCATTTTTTGGCATATGTAACCCTCATCTTCATGTAGAAGATGAGTTTCTCTGTGATGCGAGTCAGATGAGATTGAGATTAATAAATGCAGCTAGTGGTAAGGCAACCATCTTGTACGACGTCTACACAAAAATTTGTTCATTTCAGTCAGCCTCATAAACTATTTGCAAATCACCCATTTATGCTGTGATGCTAGTTTACAGATAATTTGGTTAAAACAAATGCAGATAGCAGCGCCTCATCAACGAAATTTTGTACAGGTAATGATCATTATAGTCTAAGTACTTTTCAGTACTTTTACCTTTGGTTTTACGATATGTTTTGTTGAGTCCCATTCAACTGCGTCATAAGTCTTTTGTTTGTCTACAAATATTCAGCGTTTTTTTAACATTAGTATACAATAAAAATAATCTTAGAAACCATGTCTAACTTTAAAAGTTTTCGTAATTTAAAAGTATTTCCATCGCTAGCATTTCGCCGGTTTTCTGTGCAAACTTTAAGTTCTGCACACCATTTTAGACTAGAAAAAGTCATTAAAAACAGTTTTGAACAGTCGACGCAATTTTGCAGAAAAAACAGTAAAAAAGGATCTCGATTAACCTCATATTACTTGAGAAAATTTAGCGCAAAAATCCTAACTTTAGACAAGCGACAGAATCACACTTCGTTGCAATAGTAAATTACATATTTTTACTAGGTTACTAGAAATCTGACTAGTTTTTTACTCCAAATTCCTCATGATACCCAGTTTTAAAAACTGAGGTAATCAACAAAAAGCCCAAAAGAAATAAGGAGTAACTATCCGTTTTCTTCATTCCCAGTTTGTCTCGGACTGCATTCCATTTCGGCCACATGAGTATCCAACTGGTAAACACAGTCCAAATAATAAGAGCAAAGCCATATAATCGTACTCGTTTAATACTTTATTTGAAAACGATTCCCTGTTCTTCGATATCTGATACGTGTCTCTCTTTTAAACTTTTAGCTAAAGACTTTGAAACCCCTTCCTTACCTAAACTACCAATGCATGAACCGAAAGACAATCCTCTTTATTTCACTCAGTTCACATCAAAGTTTTTCTGATAAGGTTACCAGGCACATCGATCGTAAAGATAAACAATTTGTTTTTAATAACATTTCGATATGTAAGGGATCATGAGAAAATCTCATCGACCATGCAAAGACTTTTGTTAGCCACACTGGGAGCGACGGAAATTCTCATTTTGGCAGACGTTCTTTTCATATCTGTCCTATTCCATTTCGATTTTGGATTGAAGAGCATAATATAACCATTGTTGCTCGTGACAGTGTTCCCATCTTACCTATAACTGTGCCACGACTGACTATTCCAATAGGACAACGTCTCGATCTGATTGTTGAATGCAATAAAGACCCTTTGACAAAATATAAAATGTACGTGGCTAGTCGAAATAGTTTTCATCCGCCACACATAATCACCGGTCCCACACCGACAATGTGGGCAACAGCTCTTCTCACCTATCCACAATCAAATGACAGCGATAATTCAACAGGGAAGCCATTACCTCTACTGCCAGCTGATGACACTTTCTTTGAATACAAATTCCTGAAACCTCTGCAACCTAAACTAGCTTCGCCGGCTGTCAAACGTGTTAAACTCTTTTTCTCAGTCGTATGGAACTCTAGTCGAGGTGATGCCCTTGAAGAATGGCAAGTCAATGGAATTACATTTGAACATCCGAAAGAACCATTACTACAAGCTAATTTTCTCGATGGTACCGATCGATATGCTGTAGCTGACTCACGTCAGGGTCGAGTAGGGAATGTACACGAAACTTATATTGAATACTTTGAATTTGGACAAGTTTACGAAATAGTAATGATTAACGAAGATCCTCAACAACATCCTTGGCATCTACATGGCTATACCGTCGATTTCGTGGCTGCTGAAAAATTGGAAGCGGGGACAGACTGCAACGGAATATCGACGGGTGTTGATATGAAAACCTTTGATTATGATTCGGTATTACCGAGCTTAAATTCATCAGCACCTGTAGTGACTGTGGGCGATTCGTGGAATTTACCCAGAAATAGTTACGTGGCGTTTCGATTTAAAGCAGATAATCCGGGACCATGGCTGCTTCATTGTCACATGGACTGGCATATTGCGCCAGGATTAGCGCTTGTCTTCTCAGTAGGAGAAAACGGCACGTACAAGAATCTTTTACAACCACCGCCAGCCGATTTTCAGGTATGTGGATCAAAACAACATTGGCCAAAATCCAATGGATCGTCACCAACTAGCGATATCTTGCTTGTAATTATTCTCTTGTTACTATTTCTATAAAGTGTATAAAGTGTATAAAGTATAAAGTGTTTTTCGGTTAGCTATTCGGCGAATTAGAGTGATAAAGTTCACAAAAATAAATCAAGGACTTAAACATGTACCATAAAATGGGACAACCACTAAAATTCTAGTTTTCATGTTCGTACTGACTAAAAGTAAAATAATCGGAAAATTTATGCTTGAAAAAGTCTGCGCATCATACCAAGTAATGAAAATATGTACTCAAGGGAAGCGGGCGAAAAAGCAATTTAGGCTTATGTCTTTCTGCGCTCACATCAGAATGAAATTATTTACAACTGTTCAAGTTTTTAACTAAAGGAGAGCGGCTAAAGACATGCATCACACAGGTCAATGGTACCAAGTGGTATCAACGTGTTGAGAGTAATCGTATTAGAAGAGAAATAGAAATATTTCAAAACGGTCGATAAAAGTAAAAGTAAAGTAACAGTATAACGATGAGTATAAGATGAAAAAGGGCCAATTCCCAAGGACTCATATGAATCGAACCGATGAAAATAGATGTATAGGAGCCATGCACGTTGCAATGACGAACATGAATAGTATGAGAAGGACAAATTAACACAGGTAATGCGAGCAGCTTTTGGTTGATCATGACAGTGACACAGCATACTCAAAAATTTGTCCTTTATCGCGAATTACATCTCTCTTCTGCAAAAGAAATTGAAAAAAGAGAAAACTGCTTTGGTATAATAGAAACTGGAAAGAACACGAAAAGAACATATAATATGCCATCATATATCATGATTTATTCATACAACCAAGCATGAAGTGTTCCACCGAGTTCTTGAAAAAGCTGTGTAATTTGGAACATGTTATAATCTAGTTAAATGTGAGCAGATGTTTTCATTGGTGATCAGATTGAGGATGAAGTCATTGCTCTATCGATAAGTGAGATGTTGGGAAAAGTGTGCTATCACAAGAAGCGTATTATTTTTTATAAAATTCCTCAACAGCTACTATGCCACAAAATTGAAAAGTTGAAATTTTTATGCAAACAATTTGTTTATTTTTGCTCCAGATATTTTAAACTGAAGATTTGTCATTGTAACTGAAGTCATTGAATAAAGGCTGCAGAGAAACACGTGAATCATCATGTATCATGTCTGGTAAAAAATAGTCAGTTAGCCTTCTCCTTTCTGCAGCCAAAACTGGATGTGTTATAAGCATAATACTTAAAGGAAAAAAGACAGTTATTATGTTAACGAAATTATGTATAAATCGTAAAATATGTCATTGACAATACAAAGCTCTGTGGTGAGTGCACAAAAATGTCACATTCAGATGTACATCTGAAATTCGTTTTTAAACAAAAATCACATAGAACAGAACTACGCTCATGGCTTTTTATTTTGTATAACTTACAAAAGTTTCTAAACATAGATTTAATATCAACGAAAACTGTCGACATAAATCGAGTCTGTTTTTTTTCTAAAAGAATTCCAGTTTAATCTAATATGAAAAACTGATTCTTTTAGATCGATTTACCTCGGTAAGAACGAATATTAGAGCACACGTGTACGAGAATATCAGATGTAACCATTTTTGAAGAACTTCACGGAAAAACGGACGCGAAAAGAAATTTTTCTTTTCCCGTGCGTTTTTTGTTGGTACCCGATGGTAAACGAGAGTCAAGTTGCAACATTTGGTTGAGATAGTTAAAGTAGCTGCCATAATTCAAAGTAAAGAGTATGCTTGAAAAAAACACTGTGAACAGTTTCGACTATATAAGAGTCCGAGGTAAGTGCTGTAAGTGTAAGCATTTTCACGCCTAAGAGTCACTGCACGAAAATCGCGACAGACAATGCTCAGTGACTATCACAGACCTTGATGTACGCCAGATGTAGATGTACTCTAGACAGAAATAGTACGCGAGTGCCATCTCAAACAAGCGTTTCGTTCGTGAGTTAGAAGCTTCTGAAAAGTAGGTGCTGCTAGGGCTGTTAATTTAGTTTTATTATTCGTTTATGATAATGAATAAATGTAAATGAATCATTTATGTTTTGAAAATGAAGTAAAGAAATGAAAAATAATTTATTATGTAAAAAACAAAGATAAACGATTTATTTATCTTTTTAAAATAAAGATTTACCTTTACCTTTATTTTTAAAAATAAAGGTAAAGTAAAGGAATAAAAATAAATATATACCTTTATTTTATAAAGATAATTTTTTTTTCATTTATTTATATTTATTTTCTAAAATTATACTTACTTAACACCCTCCGGTGCCGCTCGATAAAAGGCCAAAAACTTTAGGTAGAATAGAGAAGTAAAACTGAATTTTCTCCATGAGATAGAATTGAGATATTTTTCGTACATATACTCTGGAATGAATTTTTTGTTGTTGAAATGATCACTCGTTTGACACATCAGACTGGCGAGCGTTTTAAGAGGAAACGTTATAAACTTTAAAGGTGATATTCTTGATCAGCTCGACGTGCTCTATGCAACCATGTATAATTCGACCAGATTCATTTTATCACTAACCTTTTGAATTTCCGGCACCTTATATCATACAGTTTATTTTACGTATTATTAACCCTTTGGCTCCCGACGACGTATAAATACGTCTAGTTGCAATTATTGCATGATCATAATAGCTAGAATAAATTTGAAAAAATATTTGAATAGCTGGAAGAATTTTCGATCTCAGGTGGTGTATACAAAGGCTCCATCGAAACTCCTGAAATCAGGGTCTCTGGAAACTCAAATCTCAGAAAACCAAGTCCTAGAGTTCAATTCAGAAATTCTTTGCAAATAAGTCTATCGTATAGAGCAAACATTTCTGAAGAAAATGAGACGCCTCCGAGCTGTTTACGACATTTTCTCATGGAACAAGAATCAATTTACAAAAGGCTCTAAGGGCGTATCTTCTTGTTTTTCCGTTAGTTTTGCTGCTATGGGGCTTTCCGTAAATTGAATGCTGCTTCATGAGAAAACGTCGTAAACAGCTCGGAGACGTCTCATTTTCTTCAGAAATGTTTGCTCTATACGACAGACTTATTTACAAAGAATTTCTGGATTGAACTCTAGGACTTGGTTTTCTGAGATTTGAGTTTTCCAGAGACCCTGATTTCAGGAGTTTCGATGGAGCTTTTGTATACACCACCTGAGATCGAAAATTCTTCCAGCTATTCAAATATTTTTTCAGATTTATTCTAGCTGTTATGATCATGCAATAATTGCAACTAGACGTATTTATACGTCGCCGGGAGCTAAAGGGTTAATAAACATATGTTATATTTAGAAGTAAAATTATTAAAACAATTTCTACTTGAAATCGTATCAGAAATTGAGCATTTCTGATATTATCAAGGAAATTATTAGATAAAAATAAACGATGTTCATGTAAAATATTTAAACAATTATTTGAAATTATTAATAAAACAAAAATTTTCAAAATATTTTAAATTATATAAAAATACAATACACATCACTACAGCTGATAATATTGCAATAAAATCTTCTACATCTAATAATGATAACCTAGAAAATTTAGCATTCAAGAACAACAACAATGAAGAAAAACAACTATCTATATGTCAATATTATAAAAACACTTTTAATGTTATTTTAACAGTAGCTTTTCAAACACTACTTTATAATGATATGTGTGAATCCAATGATCTTCAACAATTTAAAACAACATTAATAAATTTTAAAAATTATTTGACACCCTATTTTTCTAAACATGAAAATATGTTATCAATAAAAAATTTTACAGTAGTACGTGATCATGAACTTTGTTTATCAATATTAGTTATAATATGGCATCTTGTTGATAAACCAATATTTGAATCAGTATTTATTGAAACTGATTATGCAAAAGCCGTATTAGATTGGATACAACTGTCCACTAAACGAAAAGGACATAAACGTGAATTGGTTAATATTGTACATAATCTTATTCGTCAAAAACAAGGACAAAATGCATTTAAACAAGAGAATGTTATCTTTATATTAGATGAAATATGTTCAACGTTTGAAAATTGTCGAGATGATGAAATGATTGTAGTTTATTATATGGGATCAATATTGATTGATGGGCATGAGTTAATCGAAACATTTTTGAAAGAATTTAACGATTCAATAAAACATATCCTTAATAGAATTTTCAATATGAATTTAAGAGCATGTTGTAACTTAATTAAATATAAAGAACTGCTATATTATAATTTTCATTTATCTGAATTATTGATTGTATTAGAAAGATTATTTATTTCGGATTTTATTGTTAAATATTTTTTAACAGACAATGAATCTGAAATAGATCGAGCATCAACGCATCACTCATCATCACTATCATTATCATCATCGTCTTCGTCAATTTCTTCGTTAACACCGTCATCTATCTCATCAATATTTTTACAGGATAATAAAAAAGATTCAATAAAAATATTCTCTGATGCATTATTATCAATCTATGGTAGAATTACTGATGGTGATAATCGTGGTAAACTGGCATGTGAATTATTAATGAAAATTCTGTAGAGCATAACATTCTACTCTGATGATGAGCAAATAAAATAACAATTAAAATTAAAGGATATTCTTATATTTTTTCTTCATTCACTATCTGAAATAGATCATAAAGTGACTGAAATAGCTAAATGTATTTTACATAATCTTTATGAAACATTACCGTTAACTTTGTCAAAAAATTTATCATTTTATAATATTTTTGAACCATTTGTTCTATTTTTCTATTCTAGTCAAGATGAACAAAACTGTTAAACAATTAATTAATCTACTCACAAAGCACATCTTAAGTGTTGAAAAACGTCAATACTCCAACAAAAAAATTATAATCTAGACGGAATATTACTGTATAGATGAATGAATCAACTATGTACTTTAGAATGAAATAAAAATATTAACGCATGAAACAATGTGTATACAATACTTAACAGAAGTTTTTTTAAAGAAGTCCAGAGAAAGATTACTTTTTGGGTTTCGCACAATGACATTTTTTTCATATATAATACCGTTTGGTTTTTTCATTTTTCTGTAAGGTTGAATTACAAGTGTTCTATTGTAGAAAAAATAAATTATTCATCTTCTTACTCGGTGAACAAACTGTTTGAATTATTACGTCATACTTTAGACATTATCAATGTTCATTTTTTTCTTTAAAAATATACGAAGGAATGACACTTCTATATTTCTTTTTACTTTAGTTTTATTTTTCATTTTTTTCGTTTCATTTGAGAGCTATAAATATTTGATTTTCTTCAATTGTACGTGCAATCTCATCATTTAAATTTAAATTTGTCATTGTGTCTTCATAATTAAACATTTTTTAATTATTGTCGTCCGTAGTAAAATTAAATATTATGCATTTGTTGCGTATATTATCATTAGCATTTGTTAGTGATTCAAAGCAATCTTGTGTTATATAATTTTTTTAAATAAAATTTTATCTTTTATTAATTCTAATGCATATTTAGCTATCTGTCGACAATATTTTGATGCTTAAGAATATTTTGTTGTTACAACTATGAAAATGGAAGCATGTATTACTAAAAATTTTATTTTATTCCAAGATATATTAATATCATCGTTATCGTCGTCTATTAATAATGGATGAATGGTGCATGTTCGTAGATTAATTAATTGTTTAACAGTTTTGTTCATCTTGACTAGAATAGAAAAATAGAACAAATGGTTCAAAAATATTATAAAATGATAAATTTTTTGACAAAGTTAACGGTAATGTTT